TTAATTTATATATATATATATATATATATATATATATATATATATATATATATATATATATATATATATATATATATATATATATATATATATATATATATATATATATATATATATATATATATATATATATATATATATATATATAGAAGGAGGCACATTAGAACGCTTTTCAAAAAATATGCGATAGCTTTTGTACTGTTTGACCAAAAGTTGTAATCTTTGGTGAAAGAGATAATTTAGTTAACAATTTTGTTAAAGAAAAAGCAAAGCCTAGCTAGTTTCAATAAATAATATATCTAAAAAAAACAAAGCTACTTATTGAACAAAACTGCCCCACAAGAGGCGTAGTTTAGAACGATATTGGGACACTTTAGGAAATATAAACAAAAAAGTAATTTTTCTTAAAAGACATAAAATTTTTTATGAAAACAAACAAGCTAAACTGAAAATAATATTTCATCACCTACCAATTTCATAAATACAAAAATTCATACCCTTTACTTTGTTATTTGTTAACTTTAAAAAATAATAAAGTAAAGGGTGTAGAAAGGGTGTAGAAAAGGTGTAGAAAGGGTGTACGGATGTAGAATGGATTGAGATAAGCATCAATAGAAGTTTTCTTGTAACCCAATCAAAAAAATAAAGTTCATAACATTTAACCAAGTTTGAATGTTATGAAATTAATAATAAATATTGAAATAGAATACTTGTTGGGACAGTTATCACTTTTTACTTTTTTATTATTTTTAAGTAAGATAGATGTGGGTATTAAGGCCCAGCGGGTAATAAGGCTCACTAGTGCAAATTACGGGAAAATTATCTGGTTTTATCATTTATAACAAAAAAAAATAGCCTTTCTTCACCGTGCGTTCAACAAAGCATCATATAATTGCTCAAGTATAATTTTTAAGGTACGTATTTTCACATTTTTAAATATATTATAAATCTTCTATTGTTTTCAAGTGCATTTATTTGCATTAAGTATTTATTAGTTATCATTACTCAGCATATTTATACACGTGTTGAAACAAAAGGATACTTTATCGATAAACGTGGCAGGTCTAAAGCATGTAATAAGGCCCACTAAAAATCGGGTTATAAGGCCCAAACACGAGGTCAGCGATAATAATAAAAGAAATACGCTAAACTGTCAGCATTCGAACAAATCGAATAAACAAATCGAATTTAAAAAAGTATGATTTAAATTGTGACGCAATCTACTAACTTGGTTTTTTGACATAAACTTATATTGAGTTTTTTTTTGGTGCTACATAAAAGTAATTTAGTAATTACCTGTCTCACTATTTTGTTTTTTGTACATTTTTCAAATAGAAATAAATAAATATATAATAAAAATAATAATAATTTATTGTTGTATAAAAAATTGGTTTTTATGAAGTATATAAATATGCAAGATTACTTTTTATTTTAAAAATGTGAGATAAATTATGCAATAAAAGAATGTTTTCTAACTTTTTTTTGTTTTTTCTTTCTTTCTTTTTTGTATTTTTTACATGGGCCTTATCATCCCCCTTTGGTGTGTGTGTGTGGGGGGGGGGGGGGGTGGAGGAATCTTTTATGTCTTGAGAATGCTATTGATCAGGACAAAACATTTCTAAAAATAAATTCAGGGCATAGATTTTTACAAAATTTGATGCGGAAAAGTTTTATAACATGAAATTGAAAATTATTTTATGACTTTTGCGAAATTTAAGGCTGTAAAAATTCCTAGAGTAAAACTTCCGCCGGTAGCATTTTACTCAGTAAGTTTTATAACATCGACCCCAGTTCGTACTTTAAAAATCCGAAAAAAAATTTTAAAAAATATCCGGAAAAAATCCGGAAGAGAGCATTTTTAGAATATATAATGCTTTTACAAAATTTTTTAATTAATATGTTACTTATGTTTTATAAAGAAAATATTTGAAAAAGTATTTGACATCAAAAATGCGATATACTAAAATGAGTACCGTAAAGTGAAAAGAACTTTCTCCAGGATGTAGGTCGTAGAACTTTCTACAGGACGTAGAACTTCTGTTTGCAATCACTACTCCATACAATCAAGTTTTAATGATCTTTTAAGAATTGGAAGACGTTTCTTATATTTGATAGAAATCGAAACTTTTTTTTGTCTCACAACTTTTTTCCTTTTTTTTTATTGGGAACATTTTTTTAAACTTAATTGTTCTTAATTTTTTTTTTTTTTTCTAGACTTACTTAAATAAGGATAGGCGCAGTGGAGTGTACATGCATTGAATGAGAATTTAGGTTTCGGCAGGTATTTTTTTAATTAAAAGAAAATGTTTCAATATTCATTTAAATAGAGGTAATAAGTTTATTTAATTTATATGAAAAAATTAATAATTTAAATTTCACAGGATTTTTTAGATGAAATAGTCAAAGTAATCACTAATGACTTATGTTTAAATAACTTATGTTTAAATATGCTCATACAAATAATAAAAAATTAGTTCTACGCATATAATATTGTTACACTATATATATTGTTGAGTAATTTATGAACAATCCACTGTTTTAATTTATTAATGAAAAAATTAAAAAAAAAAAAAAAATTTTATTTGTTTTTTCAAAAATATATTTGGATATCCGGAAAAAATAAAATTTTAAAGAAATATCTGAAATTTCAGAAATAACCGGGAATGTCCAGAGTAATTTTGCGGTACAGAGAATACTTGCTCTCCATCGCAAATTTACTCTGATATCAAAATTAAAAACATAAAAAAATGTATATAAAAAGGCCGTTTCAATCTGTCCAGCTTTTTGACCAGTCCCATTGGGCATGCCTTGTCCGGGAACGTCCGTGAGACGTCAAACGTACGTCAACCGGACAACGCGTTCCCACTGGGGTCTATTAAACCTTTACATATTTAAAAAACGGATTTCATAATGATCTTAAATACTGGTTTAATAATGATTACAATATTGGCTTAAATCAGCTCTGGAATTCCATAAACGGAGTTGCTAAGACCCGCATTAGTCAATATAAGCGCTGCAACTTAGCTAAACTTTTAAAAAATGCTAAAAACTAACTATGCATATTTATGTTTTTTTATTTTTTTTTTTATTTTGTAAATTTATTTGCCTTCAATAAAAGAAATTACAATTACAGAATAGCTTTATTTCAAATATAATCGGCAGGACTTCCAGAAAAGATTATACGATCTTATCATGAAGCCCTTTACAATATCAAATATAATAATAATAACAATAAAATCAAATGAAGCAATAAAAATAAATCACCATAAACTAATAATAACTGTGCATTTAAAATATAAATATACTGCATAAATTATAGGAAATATATGAAAAAAAGAACTAAAAACAAGAAAAAATATTTGCTGCTGTGAAGATAACTTCTTTTGTTTATGTATATATACAATAATTATAAAAATTATATATAATAATTATAAAAGTTATGTATAATAATTAGTAAATTTATTAAAGCAAAAATCGAATCATAAAATTCTCACCAAAAAAAAACAAAAAAAAGTTTATAAAAAAAATTAAAAAAAAGGAACTAAAAAACAAAACAAAACAAAATATTAAAACTATAAACGTTTCTTTGAGATATTGAGACAGTTCTTAAGTACTAAAAAAAGTTGTATTATTCTTATCAATTACTTGATTAAAAAAATGTACGAAAGACATGGTGCTTTAAAAGTCTTTAAAAATGTAGAGATTTGAGTCATTGGCAAGAATACTGATTTAAATTGCTTTTTTTAATAGCGAGTTTAAATAGTTCAGAATTGATATAGCGTGAGAGAGAGAGACAGATAAGAGAGGGAAGAAAGAGAGAAAGAGAGAGAGGGAGAGAGGGAAATAGAGAGAGAGCGAAAGAGAGAGAAAGAGAGAGAATGAGAGAGAGAAAGTGAGAGAATGAGAGAGAGAGAATGTGAGAAAGAGACAGAGAGAGCGATAGAGTGAAATAGAGAGAGAAAGAGTGTGTGTGAGAGAGAAAGACAGAGAGTGAGAGAAAGAATTTGCTACTTTGTTAGACTCTTTGTATTGTTGATCTTATACTTCAGCTCTTCAAACTTTCAATAAATCTTTATTAAAAAAAAGGTACTATAACAACAATATTTTAATGCTTTAAAAATACATAAAATTAAAAAATACATAGAATAAAATATTACTAAAAATAAACAAAACGATTTAACAAAGCAATAAATAACTTACGAAGTATTAAGCAAACCTATAATTAGATATGTACTTAGGTGAGCTTAAGGCCAAGTTCAAATTTTGTAAAGTTTTTGTTGCGTTTGATTTTTCAAGGGTTTTGGCGCGTTTCATTACGCTTCGTCGTAAGCTTTTTTCAGTTAAAAAAAGTTCCACAAAAAAAAAAACTTTTTTTAACTAAATTTTATTATTGCAAAATTAAAGTATTTTATTTATTTAAAACCGTTTCATATTTTATGTTTATACTTTTTTTGAAACGCATAATTCTTATTTCCTTGATTTTTCATATAATGCATTAAATAATTTTTTAATAACGGATATAAATAATTTTTTAAGAATTGTATTTAACTAAAGCTAACAAACCATTTCTATTTAGTTAGCAATCAAGCCAAAAACCACTGCTATCCAGCCAGCAATGCTTATCTAGTAATCAGTTGGCTCCTCGGCATGTTTAAGGAAGCCAATGAACAAATCATCCTGCAACAATATAGCACGCTAATAGAAATGTTATGGAAACAGCATGCAACCCAGCATGCAATGCTTGTGCTAACTCATGTATTTAATGATTCAAACTCATCATATAAAAGAAGAACGAAGAAAAAAATTTTAAACATTCTATTAACCTGAAGCTATATAAACGTTACATAAACAAAGTAAGTCAATAATACGCCATTGTAATTTATGTGTAAAGCAGTTGAATACAATAGTTGCAGTATTTAAACAATAAAGAAAATTGATTTTTTATTTATATATTATAAATATTTTTAATTTTTACTGATAATTTCTTTATATATTTTCAGATGAACAGCAGGCTTTTGGTCCTGTCTGCCTTACTGGCATATGTTTGTGCAAAGTCTATAAACGGTAAGTCATATTTCATATTAACAAGAACAAATTCATTAAATAGTTTATATAAATAATAATGCTTTCCACCCAAATTTTCAATGTTTCCCGCTATTTCAACCTTCCATTTTACATCCTCGTCCTCACCAACAAAGCAATCCTCCTTTCTATATTTAGAAAAAAGATCACCTTGTGATTGCAGTTATGGAGGTTGCAGTGGCGGTAATTGTCAACATACATCTATGCAAGTAATTCCGATCCCATCGGGAAGCTCCCCTTATGCTACTGGAATGGGTGGAGTTGGAGGTTGTTGCTCTCCACCAGCCCCACCACCTCCCGCTATACCAATCCCAGGTCCACCTGGTTTTCCTGGACCTATGGGACCACCAGGATCTCCAGGTTGCAATGGACCACCTGGTCCACCTGGACCTCCAGGAATGCCTGGATGTTCTGGTCCTCAAGGACCTCAAGGACCACCCGGGGCTCCAGGTATGCCAGCTCCACCAGCCCCTCCACAACCACCAATTTGTCTTCATCATTGTATGAAAATTTGCCCAGCACCAGCACCTGCTTGCATTCCTCCACCTCCAATGGCTTACCCACCACCACCACCACCAATGGCCTACCCCCCACCACCACCAATTATGTCATTTCCACCATGTTTGTGTCCTCAGCCTCCATGTTATTGTGGAAAATAAGAGTCGTTGCTTTGTAACCTTGGATGACATCAGATTTTATATATTTTTTAGCTTTGTATTTAAATGAAAAATAAAATAAAAATAATGAAGATAGTTTGCTTTTATTTAATTTTATTGAGGTAATTTCAATTAAAACCAACCCAAACAACATCCTTGTTCTAAATTTTTATATTGTTATTACAAATAGTTAAAAAAAATCCAACCCTCAAATCAAACTCCTTCCAAAAATCCTCTATTTTGTCGTTTAGAAAAAAGGTCTCCCTGTGGATGTCAGGGCGGATGCGGTGGAGGAGTTGGTGTTCAAGAAATTCCAATGACAGTTATCAGTATTCCATCTGGAGGAGGAGGGGGCTATGGTTGTGGACCACCACCACCTCCTCCCCCTCCCCCTCCCCCACCTCCCCCAATTCCCGGACCACCTGGACCACCAGGACCAATGGGACCACCAGGACCTAATGGTTATGATGGACAGCAAGGACCACCAGGACCTCCCGGATGGAATGGACCTAATGGGCCTCAAGGACCACCTGGACCTCCTGGCCCTCCTGGTATCCCAGCCCCACCTGCACCACCTGCACCACCACTATGTTTGCACCATTGTATAAGAATTTGCCCAGCACCATCCCCAGCATGCGTAGGTTTACCACCACCCCCACCCCCACCACCTCCACCACCCCCACCACCATCACCAATGAGTTGTTTTTGCCAACCCCAACCTTGCAGCTGTGGGTAAAAATGAAGTAGTTGTAAATAAAAGAAATATGTTGAAACTTTTATTTTATATTTGAAAAATGATTTTGTATAAAAATATTATTTAACACGCTTTAAAACTTGTGTTGCATTTTGTTTTACGAAAAAGAATATTAATTTTCAAGAATTGATGTTTTTGATAAATAGTTATTATTTTTTTTATTTTTATATTTTATGTTAACTCATAACTATCTAATCGGCGTTTTATAGAAAAACGAACACCGTGCGGATTTCCACCATGCGGAGGACCTTCAGGTGGTTGTGGGGGATTTTCTAGTGGATTTGGAACAGGGTATGGAGCTGGCAATATGCATTTCCAAGAATTGCCAACCACAGTAATAAATCTACCTGCTGGACCAGCTGCACCTTGCTATCCACCACCTCCACCACCACCTCCACCACCACCACCACCAATCCCAGGACCACCAGGAGCCCCTGGACCAATGGGACCTCCCGGATCTCCAGGAAGTCCAGGTTATTCTGGGCCACCTGGACCACCTGGATATCCAGGTAGTCAAGGGCCAATGGGACCACCTGGACCACCCGGACCACCTGGTATGCCAGCCCCACCAGCTCCACCACCTCCACCAATTTGTTTACATCATTGCATGAAAATCTGCCCTGCACCAGCTCCAGCATGTGTTGCAATGAGTCCTCCCCCTCCTCCACCACCCCCACCACCACCACCAAGTTGTTTTTGCCCTTCTTACCCTTGTATGTGCGGTTAAAGTTATTGTTATATTGTAATATAAGAAAACAGTAATTTATATAAATTCATTTCTTGTTTTATTTCAAATGCATTTCTATAAAACTGTGCGTCATACAATGCCAGGGGCTATTCTAGACCGTTTTTGACATTTTTGACGTCGTTTTTGACATTTTTGACGTCAACCAGATTTGGACGCCACCCAAATGAAAAACCAAGGACCTTTTTTTATTTACATTTTTTACGGCAAATATTGCTTTTTCCGCGAATATTCGGCAATATTTCCGCTAAATTTTTCCGGGACAAAGGAGTACCGCTACCCATATTATTTTCCTAGAATAGCCCCTGAATGCGAGAAACTTATCAATTTACATAAAAACAATATTAAATTATTACATAACAACTGTAGCATATTATCTCAAGGCAAATTATCCTTAAAAGCACAAACCAACAATTATTTTCAAACAAGAGCATGTATCTTTTAAAAAATGTTATACCATTTTTAAAAATACACTTTAACTTAACAACAAAACGGTTTTTTTTTTTGAAAATTTCTGTTTTTTGCTATAGTTTTATAACATAGCTTGTATTTTAAAAGTCTGCCACTTTTCTACTCTGTCTACTTTTCTACTCTGTCTTGTTGGTCTTAAAGTAGTAGTTTTTTCTCAGCTTTAAAGCAAACGTTGCAAAAGTGGCAAGTATATAACTCAAAAACTGTACGCGGCTTGTTTTGATTCTAAAGTGGTTGTTGCTACTAGTTCACCGCAAAATTTTTGCACCATCTATTCTTCATCTTATGTAATTTGCAAATCCTAAAATCTGGCATGAGCTTAAAAATTATATCAACGTTGTTATTTTTAGGAGCTAATTGTTCTCTTATTGTCAACTGAACTGGAAAGATAATGCATAACGATTATGACTTGTTCCATTAACATCGGATATAAATAATTTATACACTTCAATTGTTTTCACAGCTTGAATTAAGTAATTTAAACCGAGAACTAAAACTAATTAATTATACTGGAGTGAATTGCTCACTTTAATTTTAAAAAGAGAAAAATAAGTTGTTCTAAGAAGATGTAGAAATACTATTGTTGTGTAAACATTCAGCATAAATAAAAAGTTTTGTATAGTTTGTGATTTTTTTTAATGAAAAACAATCCGACTAAAATCTGGCTGAATAAAGAAAAAAACGTCATTTTACAGATGCTTTTTTTTTATACAACAATGCAATGCAGTATTATAAGCATAAATGATAAAAGACTTTAAAAGTTGTTGCTTTGCTAACTAGACTATAAACAAGATATGCAAATTTCTGTTGCCTCCTATGGCTATTAGATTAACGAGCAAAAAATAGTCATTACAAAATAAAAATCATCATAGCGGATGTTTTCTCAAATTTACAAAACAGTGTCACAAATTCTCTACTCATTTTATTAAACAAAACTATGGTGTTATTTAAGCATTATAAGTTAGGCTATATCAAACAGCTTGTGAATGCACTTGATAAGGGCTGTGATGCGACAAACATTTTGGAGTCCCAATTTCTTTACCCCCAATTAGGGGAGGGGCCTTATATCTTTCTTAAACATAGTTGTGCAAAAGTTAAGTTACAAACGATTTTTTTTTTGGTGCACAGTTAAAGAAGCTGCTTCTCTTTCAGCATTTTGAATCGATTTGACGCCTGATTGAAATGCAGCGTAGCTGTCTTTCAAAAATATTTGCAATAGTTGACTCCAAAAAGTTATAATTTAAATTTTCTGTTACAAAACATGTTAAGAAATATATAAACCTTGGTTACATTATTTCACTTAAAACTTACTTCATGGGTTCTCGCCATAAAATTGCTGAATAGTGTGTAAGGTTATTATTACAACTTCTAGTAACAGAGAAATAGAGGATTTAGTGTAAAATTAAATTTAGACCAAATTGTGTAGTTCTACTTCCTCTTAAAGGAGATAAATTGTTAAAGGAGATAAATTATTCAATAAAATATTTCTAAAGTTGACAACCCTAAACTAATTCGTATTCTTTACAAATGTTACATGGGTTTTAATAAAAAGAGTGTTCTATTAAAATTGTTAAAGTTGTTAAAATTGTTTTTACTGCTAATAATGTTTATTTAACAAAAAAAGCAAGTTACTTAAGAATAAACGTTGCATTATAAGAAAGAAGTTCCTTAAAGCAACAATTACAGGGCCGGGTTAAGTACTTCTTGGCCTCTCGGCATTTTAGGTCTTCTGGCCCCTGTTGGCCTTCTAGTTTTCAAATTTAACAGTAATTTAAAATAAAAAATATTTTTGTAACTGTTGCGCTATGGCTTTATAATGTATTTTTTTTTTTTTATTTAAACAAACATCTCGCGTTATTTACTAATAAAAATACGCAGCAGTTAGTATAAGTTTTAAATCACCTCTCTTCTGCGTTTTAAGCTGGCAAATGCAGATATGATATCTTTTAGGTCAATGGAATCCAATACCCGGTTTTCTATATGAACAATAGAAAGATTTGAAAGACATTCCTTAAAAAAAACTCTAAAAATAAGACATTCGTTCAATTAGTGAAAGTTAAGACCAGTAGGATATCGGTCAACAAGTTTTTGTGCACAGCAAGTAATTTCCAAGATATCCATGTTGCGGAGATTCACAAGAAAACCAAACAGAGAATTTAATCCAGAATAGGCTTTTATTCTTTTATCTAGATTACTCGTTAGTTTGGCCGGAATCTCATTAACGTTGGCAATCATTTAAGATTGCTCAGAAAACATTGTAGTTTCCAGTTAATTTCATCATCGTAATGCCTCTTGCGTGCTCTTAAAAGCCTTTGAAAATAGACATATTCATCTGTGTTGACCAAAGACACGGCTTTTTTTTCATATTGCTTGAATTGCTTGATTGAAGCGAACTTGCTGCACGTAATACTCATGAGAGTTATACAGTTCTTTAACCATACCTAAATCAAGAGTTACGAACTGCAGTTTCTTGTTAACTTTGTTGAAACTTTCAATAATATTGTTTCGAATGTCTATTAAAAGTTGTTTTCAAGTTGTTCCGAGTTGTTCCATTTTGGTCAAAAGTCTGAAGGCCTCTGCTATTGGCTTTGCTTTCTAATTGTCGTTAAGATCAAGATGAGCCCATAGAAAATACAGTTAATAAGTATGCACAATCACAATTAAATATGCTTTATTTGATTTTCTGAAAAATTCTTTATCACCTTGTAAATAGAATAAACCTTTTCAATGGCTAAACAAGCATCAGCACTTTGGTGTGTTGATGAAGCAAACATTGGTATGCTGATGAAGCAACGAAGTTATAAATTTCTTGAAAAAAGCTAAAGAAATTACCAGCAGCTCCGTTGGATTCCGTGGCACTCACTCCTACAAGGTTCAAGTAACGAGCAGAACATGGATTAAGTTCGGCAAGAACGTTGATCTCTTTAATTCTTGCTTGTAAACCTAAGTAGATTCCAGACATATTACTGGCATAGTTGTATGACTGGCCACGCCAATTTTGAATGTTGATCGCACACTAATCTAACTTTTTCAAAACGTTTTCAAGCATGGAAACTGCAAAATGATTATGCAGAGTAATGAATGCTAAGAACCGCCTAACTGGTTTTTCGTTTTGTACATTTCGGGAGTAGAATCAACAATGATTGAGGAATACTTCGCAAATTTTATTTCGCTAAGAAATTAAGTTGCAATAAATAAAAAAATTGTACGATAAAATGTTACTTAAGGATCATCATATTACTTATAAATTCCATAACCTCGGCAGCTATTAAGTATATGATTTCTTTGCAGATGTCTTTAGATAAGTACGAGTTACAACCCTTTCCTTTGTTTCCACGAGTTATCAAGTATTGGGTGAGGAAAGGATAAATTTTACCAACAGCTCAATACATCCGGTAAAATTTCCATTGCGTATCGATCCTAGCTTTTCGCCTGATTCGCGGAATGATAATCCTTTGAGAATGAACAATAAATAAAATATCCAATTGTTTTAAATTTCTTTTATCACCATTATATTCTTAAATTTTTTTTGAGTTACTTTTTTCACCATTATGTTTGAAGTCGAAAGTTCTTTCAAGTCGTTAAAAAATTAAACATCCAGTTTGTGATATGTCGTATGCGCTGTTATTGCAAAGATTAAAAATCTTTGTGAAGTCAAGGATAGAGACCGATAGTAATAATTTTTCTTTCAAATTAAATATTTCTCACAAATTCACTTAGATGCTCTGGTCCCTTGAACTCCGTGGCCTCCCAGCACGTGTCCAGTATGTCCATTGGTTAAACCGGCAGTGAGAAACTATGTAGATTTTTGTAAAAAATAAACAAATAAAGAAGCAAGACAAGACGTATAAGAAAAAGAGATAAAAGATCTAAAATTAGTAATAAAATAATACCATTATAAATACACTATAAATTCACAACAAATAAAGCACATAGAGTATATCTGATTGCTAGATTTTATCAAAAATCTTACACGTAAAAGCAATGGGCTTTACCTCATTGTTTTTATCTAATTCAAATGTTTTGGTATTATAATCGAGAAATCAGCAGTAAAGTTAAAAGATAAAAATCCTAATGATTTTTAGAAATGTATTTGGTTCAAGATAATATAATAAAAGTAATAGTAATAATAATAAAGTAGTAATAATAAAAGGCTAGTAATAATAAAAAAGTAGTTTATCAGTAGTTGGAACGATACCAAATATTTGTAGACTGACAAATGCCGCTGTCCAGCAAGTATAGAAATAAAATTTACATGAAGACTTGTTTTATATAATTTCAAACTTAAAAAGATTAGAAGAAAGGTCTCGCAAACATTTTTACAAGTTAGCTATGAATTAATAACACAATTTGTAAAGGGTTTAAATTGTTTATGGAGGGTTTTAGGAATAAGGCAATTAGAATAAAAGATGGATCCAAGAATAAGGTAAGAATAATTTTTTTTTTAAACAACTCTGCTTTTTCCTTGGAAGGGTAATTGCAATCTGACATCTTGAAAGATGAAATATTTT